GTGGTGTATAGATAACCTTTTAGAATTAAACATTAAAAATGCAAACATATGTCATTTTTTAGAGTTAAGAAAATCACGTCGAGTTACTATTTTAATAATTGTCTAATCGACTCTGTAACATGTATGAATGATCTTGGAATCCTTTTGGATCATAGACTTGACTTCCGAGAGCATATTTCATTGACTATAAATAAAGCATATAAAAGTTTGGGCTTTATAAAAAGATGGAGTAAAGAATTCTTGGATCCATTAGTTTGTAAACAACTTTACATTTCTTTTGTGCGCTGCATCTTAGAGTATGGGTCTGTAATATGGGATCCAGGATATGTCATTCATTCTAATTTATTAGAATCCGTTCAAAAGCAATTTTTATTATTTTGTCTTCGTGGTCATAATTGGACCCAACAAACATTGCCAAGTTACGAACATAGGTTAAACCTTATAAAGTTACCTACATTGAAAAGCCGCCGTACTATGCTAAATGTAACTTTTTTATTAATGGTTATTCATGGGAAGATATTGTCAGATGTTATTCTAGATAAACTGCACATAAACGTACCGTATAGACCGACGCGAAACTATCAATTGCTTCATATAAATTATTATACTACTAACTATGCCAATAATGATCCTTTACGTCGTCTTTTCCTTGAATTTAATAAATTTTATAATTTAATTGATCTAGCAGAGAGTCGCGAATCTTTAAAACGGAAATTGACTTTGCACTTAAACAGAGTTTAGTTTTTAAACCTCTACATTTTTTCTCTATTATAAAAATAAAAAAAAAATTCTCAATTGTATATAGCAATTTAGTTTTTAATTTAGTCTGTAAGGATTTGTAATCTATAGACTTAAGATGAATAATAATAAAAAAAAAAAAAAAAAAATATGTGTGGTTACAATAATAAATGTGACAAATTAATTGGAAATTAGTTAAGATTTGGATATAGCTCCCATATATATATTCTCGGCCGATTTCACGTATTTGACGCACCAATTTCAATGAAATATGAAAGGTGTGGCGGAATTTGGTGTAAAAGTAATTTTTTTAAAATTATATTTAAATCGGATCAGATTGGGATATGATTTTAATAAGAACCATTGACCCACAACGCCTTAGGCTAACACTAAAAAACAACACAACAATTAATTTGAAATACGCTTATTACGGCGAAGTATGTTGCTATCTCGAATTCATTAATTGCAACAGAAATGCCACTCAACTTCAAAAGATTGCAGTTTACTGCACGCTTGGTATTTGCTATGAAATAAATAAATCCGAAGGACAAACCCTTCGTGTATATATGTCATGTTACTGTTTTTCTAATGGTTTTGTATATTTACGCTTTAAAGTAGTGCAATAATTTTTAATTATAAAATATATATATATATATATATATATATATATATATATATATATATATATATATATATATATATATATATATATATATATTGGTGGCCAAAACTAAAGCAACTGAAACTACGGGGAGAATGAATGCCTTGTATCAAAAATTAAAAAAATTAAAAAGTTTTTCTTGTTTTAAATTAGGTACTTTATTCACTTTTTAAAAACCTAAAACATAAAACCAAAATTCATTTTTATATAAAAAATAATGTTTGTTAAGTCAATTAACCCGATTTTGGCTTGGACAAAACAAAAGCAACTCTGTTGTACATTCATATAACCGCTGCAATTTCAGTTGCTTTTACTGTGATATTTATCGCTTTTTGCTTCCTTCGACAATTTCGCTTGTCATAAATCCTTTTTGAGAAGTTTTTTACAACAGTATGTGTTTTTCTTTTCGTTTTTTAAGTACTGCCCAAAAAAAAAAAAATTAAAAATGGCTAAAGGCAAATACAGTACCTGAATAAAACAGCAAATTATCAGTGACTGTCAAAACAACATATCACAGAAAATGATTTCCGAGAAATATTTCATAAATATTTATGTGATTTCATAATTATTTCTGTATACTAAGTCGGTTTTCTGAAACTGGATCAGTAGTAACAGTCTATAACGGATGAAGGCCGTAAAAACTTCAGCCCGTACTTATCCATAAATTGTGAGAGAAATAAAAAACAACTATTTAAGAGTGCAACTGGATTGGTGAGAGAGCAATCATTGGATATGAGCTCGAGATCAGTGCGTAGACGAGTAGTGGCAGCTGGTCTGCATGCCCGTAAGACATCAAAAAACCATTTATATCTGAAAAAATCAAAAAGGCTTTCGGAAACGATAATATTAAGTGGAATCAAGCTCAATGGAAAAAAACATTATTTCTGGGATGAGTCTACGTTTAATATTAAAGGCTCAGACGTGAAAAACTTTACGGTGGGAAGACCAAAAAATGAAGGACTCAAGCCGCAGTGTTGCAAAGGTACAGTGAAGCATGAGGGAGGGTCAAAAATGGCGTGGCGCTGTTTTTCTTTCTATGGACTTGGGCCTATCCATAAAATAAAGGAAGTTGTGGATCGGTTTGTTTACAAAGATGTGTTGGACATCACGTTGTTCCCTTACGCTGAGTAAAATATTCGGCTGATTTGGGTGTTTCAGCATGACAATGATCCCAAACTTGTATCAAAACTTGTTAAATATTGGTTGCGGGAGTCAAAAATTCATGTTTTGTTAGGGCCGGCACAATCACCTGACCTAAACTCCTTAGGAAACCTTTGGAGTATCGTAGATAGGAAAATCAAGAGAGATTCGGAAATAAATAAGCACATTTTCTAAAGAATTCGGGGTGCCTGGGAAAGCACACCCAAGGATCAAATTGAGCGTGTTATAGATTCAATGTCTCGTAGGTGTGCAGCTGCTATCAAAAATAATGGTTATGCTATCGACTACTAGCCAAAATGTAATTATTTTAAAATAAAAAAATAAAAGTTGCTTTAGTTTTGACCAAGCAAAAATTGGGTCATTTTAGTTTTCCACATATTATTTTTCGTTAAAAATAATTTTTGTTTTTTTATTTTTAGTTTCTTAAAAGTGAATTAAACCCTTCATTTAAAACCGGAAAAATAATTACGATTTGTTTATTTTTGTAAAAGTTGCAGGACATTTATTGTCTTTGCGATTTAAGTTGCTTTAGTTTTGGGCACCAGTGTATATATATATATATATATATATATATATATATATATATATATATATATATATATGTTGTACTAAATGGCACTAAATTTGGCAACGGGGAAATTACAGAGCTGAAATCTTGAAATTTGATATTAAGGTCACTGTTGGTATCAGAGGTTGAGATATGTAGATTATTTGGAAAATGCGTACTATAAATGTTCGAAAGTACTAAATTATGTATTGGGTGAAAGGATAGTTTTGGAATCCTCAAATCTGATATTGAGGTATCGGTATCTGGGATTGAAATATGGAATTGGTTTTGGAAATGTGTACTATAATTGTACGCAAAGTACAAAATGGCACAAAATGTGGTATTGGCTGAGCTGGAATCCCAGAATTTGATATTGAGCTCTTGGTATCTAATATTAAGATATGGAGTTGGTTGGGGGAAATATGTACTATAATTCTACGAAAAGTTATAAATTGTGCTTAATTTGATTTTGTGTGAAGGAATAGAGTTGAAATTTGATACAGATGTCACTACTGGGGTTTGTGGTTCGTATATGGAGGTTGGTTTGGAACTGTGTGCTATAGTTGTTTGAAAAGCACTAAATTGAGCTAAATTTGGTAGTAGGAGAAGTTAAAGAGCTGAAATCCTAAAGTTTGAAATGGATGTCACTGTCGGTATTTGTGGTTGAGAGTGATCGAAGTATAGATGTGGTTTTGGAAATGAGTACTAAAATTATTCGAAAACTATATAATTTTAATAAATTTGCCATTTTTATTAAATTTGTCATAGAGCTGGAATCACTAAATTTGATATTGAGGTTTGGTATCTTGTGTTGAGATATGGGGACAGTTTTGAAACTGCGTACTAAATGATACTAATTTTAGTTCACTGTTTTGGATATGCGTACTAAATGTTACTAAATTTTTTACTCGGATCGAGCCGAAATTCTGAAATTCGCTATATATATATATATAGGTGTTGAAATATTTTTGGATAGAAAAATTGGATGTGGGCCCATTTAGCAATGGTATTACTAATATCCTCCTCCGACAACTTCAATATGAAAGACTTACCATTATTCCTTGCAAATGAGGAAAAAATTGTGTAAGACGGAAAATCTTGTAAAATAAGTACTATCTATGCAGTTAAGATTACAAAATATTGTCAAAAAGAAAAAATATGTTAAACTGAATATGTTTTTTTTTTGCTGAAGAAGTAGCGGACACTTGCCCTTCTCCCTCCCCGCAAAAATTATGACAAACACAGCCATAGATCATATCTGAGCCAACCCATTTGGCTACAACCTTTTTGTGTAGCACGTAAATGTTTTTTCCTCCAAACTTAATACAATTTTTCGTGTTATCTAAAACCATATTCCTTTAGAAATACCCACAAAATGAACATTTCTTTTGTTGTTGTTCGTTGTTGTAAATCAAGTTTTCTGTTGCCGTTGCTTGAGCCATAATTTGGTACCCAATTGTTTTGTTTATGACCATAATAAATTTAAAGTAATTGTTCCATGAATCCTTTTTGCGATTTTTTTTTACTTCTTATTTGGCCAAGATTCTGGTCGTTGCCTAATAAACTACATAATTTTGGTAGCTACATAGCTAGTATTTGCCTGGCAGTGATTTTCTTGAAGGTTTGAAGATTGTCTGTCCTACTGCCGTTTATTTGCAAGATATTGGGGTGGTCGTATTGTGCCGTATCTTGGAACCTTAGATGGGGACGTTGGGAAATTTAAATGCAAATCCCTACCATGGTTGGTATTGTTGGTATTGTTTTGGTAAGAAGGCCATTAATAAACTTATTTTGTAATAAATTTCTGAACAGCACCCCCTTTCTATGTTTTTGTTGTTTTATAATAAAGACAATAACGAGGAGAATAGTAAAGGACATTTTCCTTGGACTTACCACTGGCAGCATTTTCAAAAATCCCAGTAAAAATATGACCATTATGCTCGAAGTCGAAACACAAAATTGCATTTTCAAAAATGTTATGGCACACTGGCGATTAAACCAAATGGGCAGCAGAATGATGAAGGCCGAGCACGATTGCAGCAAACAGCAGACACAGCTAATGATGACGAACATGGGACGTGGCGGTGTGGCCAAGTGATGTAACTGTAAAAGAGAGGGAGAGAGAGAGAGAGAGAGGGAAAAGACGAGTCAATAAATATAAATATAATTTATAAGAATTGATTGGTTATAAAGGAGAGAGGGAGAGAAATTAGATTTGAATAAATAACGACCTAAATACTTAATAAATTCAAATCATATTCAATGTATTTTCATTATTTCGGAATTAATATCAAAATTATATTAACTATATAAAATTTTTTTTTTCTTCTAAAAGAGAAAGGATGAGAGAGAACATTTGAAATTATAATTAAATTGATATAAATATCTTTCTTAAACTAAGATACGTTTTTAGGAAATTCAAATCGTATTCAATTCGTATTCAATATTTTTGAAATTAAATTTGAACTATATAATATATATAACTACAGGGTGAGATAAAAAAAACTGCAACATGGTCAAACGGCATAATTTTTAATTTTTTCTACTTTTTTTAAACGAAATCAAAAAATGTTGAAAATAGCATCAAATTTTAGAATAAGCTTAGATTTGTTCAAATTGGTCACCTTTGGCACGAATTTGGGCCTTCAAACGGCCAATGAAACCGTCACACGCTGCCCGAATGTTGCTCTGCGGTATTTTAGCCCATTCCCGACGAAGCGATTGCTTGAGGTGATTGACACTTCGGTATTTTTATACCCTCAACCATAGTATGGAGGGTATATTAAGATTGTCATTCCGTTTATAACACCTCGATATACATTTTAGACCCCACAATGTATATATATTCTTGATCAGCATAAAATTCTATGTCGATTTAGCTTCCGAACGAAATGAAGTAGGTTGATAAAATTTTTCTCAAATGCGTATTATGTCTGCAGGAGTTTTAGTATTAAAAATGGGCCATGTAGGTCCACGTTTTGGTATAGCCTCCATATAACGGTACCTCCCGATACTGAATATTTTGATGATTTAAGCGACATTATTCACCGTAATTATTTAACATTTCATTTCAGCGACATTATTCACCGGAATTGTTTCAAATTTGGTATTTGATGTTCGTAATGAATGCTACAGCCTATGACAGGAGATTGTCTGTGCAGGCCAACATCTTCTTAAAGCCCCCATACTATACTTTGATGATTTTAGCGACAATATTCACCGGAATTGTTTAAAATTTAGTATTTGAAGTTCGTAATGGATACTATTATAGGCTATGACAGAAAATTGTCTGTGCAGGTCAACGTCTTCGTATAGCCCACATATAATGGTAGCCCCCAATTTTCAGTATTTTGATGACTTTAGCAACATTATTCACCTATTTTTTCGCAAGTTCCGCATTTAGATATTGTAATGGCTTATGACAAATGTTACCTCTGTAGGCTCATGTCGTTGTATAGATCCTAATGTAACAGCTACATTCTGTATTTTTAAGATTTTAACAGAATTTTTAAAGGATTTTATTGTTTTTGAGAATTGCCAAATTCGTTCCAAATTATGGAGGGTATTCAAAGTTCGACTCGGCTTAACTTATAGCTATTTTACTTGTTTTTTTTTTTAATTTTATTGAATGAAAGCAAAAAATGGCGGAAATAGCATCAAGTTTTAGAATAAGTTTAGATTTGTTCGAATTGATCACCTTTAGCCCGAGTTATGGCATTCAAACGGCCAATGAAACCGTCGCACGCTGCCCGAATGTTGCTCTGATGTATTTTGGCCCGTTCCAGGCCAAACGCTTGCCTGAGGTGATCTACACTTTGGTATTTTTATACTCTCCGCCATAGTATGGAGGGTACATTGAGTTTGTCATTCCGTTTGTAACACCTCAAAATATACATTTTAGACCCGAATTCATTCAGCGGAATTCAGCGGAATTGTTTTAAATTTGGTATTTGAAGTTCGTAATGGATACTATAGCCTAACACAGAAAATTGTCTGTGCAGGCCAACGTCTTCTTAAAGCCCCCATATAACGGTACCCCCCGATATTCGGTATTTTCATGATTTTAGCGACATTATTTACCGATTTTTTCGCAAGTTCCGCATTTGGATATTTTAATGGCTTATGAGAAAAGTTACCTATGTAGGTCCATGTCGTCGTATAGACCCTAATAAAACAGCTACATTTTGTATTTTTAAGATTTTAACAGAATTTTTAACGGATTTTATTGAGAATTGCCGAATTCGTTCCAAATTATGGAGGGTATTCAAAGTTCGGCTCGGCTTAATTTACAGCTATTTTACTTGTTTTTTTTTTTTATTTTATTGAATGAAAGCAAAAAATGTCGGAAATAGCATCAAATTTTAGAATAAGTTTAGATTTGTTTGAATTGATCACCTTTAGCCAGAGTTATGGCATTCAAACGGCCAATGAAACCGTCGCACGCTGCTCTAATGTTGCTCTGCGGTATTTTGGCCCATTCCTGGCAAAGTGCTTTCTGAGGTGATCGACTCTTTTGTATTGGTACCGGAGACTTTGGTGGCCATTGTGCGCTGGAAATGAAGCGAAGAACCTCATTTTGTAATCATTCTTGGGTGGCGCGTGCCAAATGCGATGGTGCTGAGTTCTGTTGAAATGTCCAAGGTCTGCGGCCAAAATTTTTGCATGCCCAAGGCTTTAATACACCTTTCTGAATATTTTCGCAATAATATTTGAAATTTATTCTGATGCCACGGTCGAATGATACGAAGCGGAGAGCGACCATCGGCTGTTATGGCGGCTCACACCATCACCAAGGCCGGCGCTTGAGTTCTGGTGGCCAAACGAAAGTGCACATTTTCGGCTGACCTCTTTGGCAAGTAAACACGATTAATTTTTTTGTTTACAAACTGCTGGACAACGAAGGTTTTCTCATCGGAGAAAAGGAGAAAACTAAATTCGGCAGTTCAACATTTTCGGCCAAGCGAAGCAACTTTTTAGCTCTTTTGAGTCTATATTCTTTCTTTTGCGGTGTAAGTTCTTGCCCTTTTTGGAATTTCAATGACTCGGAGTAACCGAGCTCATTTTTCAATATTTACCGAATGGAACATTACGATATGTTCAGCTCACGAGACATTTTTCGGCTACTGCGACGAGGGTTTCGATCAAGTCGCTTTTTTACTTTTCGAACCATTTCTGCTGATGTTGCTTTTTTCTTCCGTCCACTTCCAACGAGCGAAAACGATTTACTCACATTTAAATGCTGGAGTGCCCTAACGATAGCCACTTGTGATTTTTCAGCCAAATACAAAGAAATCACACTATCACGCTTGAATTCCATCACGAATAACCAACTGTGCTTAAAAAATATTACTCAAAATGTCCACGATTATTGCATTAAAAGTCCTTGAAAAATATTATTTTAACATCCACGATTAGTGCTTAGAAAGTCCTTGAGAAATCTAGTTCTAAAAATACCTGATCGTTGCCTAAAGAGTCATTAAAAATACCCTTTAAAAATTTACGGTTGATGCTTTCATAGTCGTTGGAAAAATGTTCTTCTGAAAATGTACGGTTATGGCTTCAGAAGTCCTTGAGAATTATTCTTCTAAAAATCCCCGATCATAGCTTCAAGAGTCCTTAAACATCAACAATTATTGCTTTAATATCCTTCACATATCCACGATTATAAATTATTCTTATAAAAAATATTCTTTTAGAAGTCCTTAAAAAAAGTATCCTTAACAAATCAACTATTATCGCTTTAGAAGTTCAAAAAGATTATTCTTCTAAAAAAATATTTCCTTAGAAGACCTTGAAAAATTTATCCTTTCACCTTGAAAAATTTATCACCTCAACACCCTTTTCAACAGTTTCCTAATCTGCTTTGTGCAAGCAAACCCTATTTGCTCTAAAAAATGCCATGATAGCCATCAACACACCACAAACTTCAATTCAATTTCAAGTGTTTATTTAGTTGGTTCTTCTTTTTTTAAATCACGATACCGGAAATACTTCAGCTATTTTTTTTTGTGCTCCCGCATAAAATTGCCCCCAGCTGAGAGAGAGGACGAACTATTTTTTCATCCTCTGCTGATTTTGTTTATTTATTTGAAGTTATGCTATTTTCTTGCCTTTGGCTATTTCCACAAACCTTTGAATTGTTGTTTTAGTAGTTTTTTGTTTGTTTTTTGTGGTCACATGGAGAGGAGGGCACATACCGGTGCTGATGTTTTTATATGTTTTTATTATATTTTTTAGCTTGAAATTGGCATCCTTCAAAACTCATCTCAGTCAAAAAGTAACTTCCCTCCTTCTCAATCGAGGTTCTCCTTTTTTAAAACAGAGGCAAATATATGTGCAGGACCTTTTTACATACACTCACCTTACATAATATAAGGGGTAGAATATGTTTGTCATTTCCTTTGTAACACTTCGAAATATACGGCCCAAAGAATTGATCAGCATAAAATCTGATGCCGTTTTAGCGATGTCATCGTCCGTCTTTCAGTTTGAGAAAATCGCTCTAAATTTCGAACAAAATAAAATAGGATGGTAAAATTTTGCTTCGATATGTTTTAGGTCTACATGACTTTTGGTATTGAAAATCAACCATAAAGGTCCACATTTTAGCCCCATATAACTGTACCGGCAAATTAAGGGTTGTTTTGGGTGTTTTCGTCACAATTTTAAGCCAAATTTTCTGTAAATTGGGAATATTAGTCCCCTTTATTTAAGATACATTCTTGTATAGAACTGCCAGTATAAGTCCCAGACTTGGTATAGACCCCATATAACTGTACGACCAGATATTCGGCATTTTGATGATTTTTAGCGAAATTGCTAAAAATTTGGTATTCGGTGTTAATAATGGGTACTACCTCCTATGACTAAAAATTGCCTATAAAGGTCCACATCTGCGTATAGTTTCCATATAACTATACTTCCAGATATTCGTAATTTTGATGATATAGGTCATACCTTACACCGGAATTGTTTAAAATGTTGTATTAGCAGTCCGCAATGGGTACTACCTCCCATGACAAAAGCTCCATATAACAGTACCTCCAAATATTCAGTATTTTGATGATTTTATTTAAATTATTGAACAGAATTATCTGAAAGTAGCTATTTGGAGTTCGTAATAGGCACTACCTTCCCTGACAGACAATTGGCTACAGAGATCCACGGTTTCGTATAGGCCCCATATAACTGTACCTCCAGATTTTGGTATTAATTATTCTTGTATTATTATATTTTTGTTACACTTTTCGCCGGAATTATTTCCAATTTAGTATTTGGAATTCGTAATGGGTACTACCTCCTATTACTTAAAATTGCCTGTACAGGTCCACATCTTCCTATAGCCTCCCTATAACACTACCTCTAGATATTTTGTATTTTCACGGTTTCGACCACACTTTTCTCCAGAACTATTTCAAATTCGTAGTGGGTACTGCTTTTTGTGACTGAAAATTGCCCATGAAATTCAAAGGCTTCGTGTAGCTTCCATATAATGGTACCTTCCTATATTTAATGAGTTTAAATTCATTTTCAACAGAATTATCTCCAACTTAGTGTTTGGAAATCGTAATAAGATGATGCTTATTATTTCTTGGACAGACAGTTGGGTATAGAGATCTATGTTTTCCTATTGCCCCATATAAATATAACATAAAATACTCTTAATATATTAAACTGTAGCTGCATTTTTAGCGCATTTTTCACATATTGCAAGGCTCTTTCAAATGGTTGAGGGTGTTAAAAGTTCGTCCTGGCCGAACATAGCTGTTTTTTACATGTTATATTTTTTCCTTGTTGTTGTGTGTGTTGCTTTCCAGCTATAACCGTTAATATTTTTTGGCGAATCAAAAGTTTAAAATAAATTTAAATGGAAGCGTTGAACTGAGGTAACTTGAAAAAGGGGTACGAAATACAAACTTGAAGGGTACCAAATACTTCACTGGAAATATCTTTAAAAAGCCAATACTAGGGAATTAAAATAATCATGAAAAATATCATTTAAAACATCTACAATCCTTGAAGAATATAGTCTCTGAATCCTCACGATTGCACTGGTAATCCTGGGAAAAATATTCTTCTAAAAGTTCTTAATTATTACACTGGTAGTCTTGGGAAAAATACTCTTTTAAAAATCCGCGATTTTTGCCTTGGTAGTCCTTGGAAAAATATTCTTTTAAATATCTTGGCAATCCTTGAAAAAAATATTTTAAAAATCCAGGATTTTTGTCCTGCCGATTAAAAAAATATTCTATTAAAAATCCGCTTTTTGACGTGGTAGTCCTTGATAAAATATATTTTTAAAAACCCACTTTATTGCTCTAGTAGTCCTGGAAAAATATTCTTTTAAAAATCCACGATTATTGCCTGGTAGTTCTGGAAATTATTATTTTAAAATTCCACGATTATTGTCCTGGTGTGCTGAAAAATATTCTTTTTAAGATCCACGATTATTTTCCCATTAGTAGACCTGGGAAAATTATTCTTCTAAAAATCCATAATTATTGTGCTGGTTGTCCTGGGAAAGATGTTCATTTAAAAATCCACGATTTTTGCCTTGGTAGTCCTTGACAAAATATTCTTTTAAATGTGCTGGTAATCCTTGAAAAACTCTTTTAAAACCGTGATTTTTGTCCTGATAGACCTTGAAAAAATATTCTTATAAAAAATCCGCGATATTGCTCTGATAGTCCTTAGAAAAATATTCTTTTAACAATCCACGATTATTCACAGGTAGTCCTGGGAAAAATATTTCTTCAAAAATCCAAGATTATTGCTTGAACAGTGCTTGAAAACATTCTTCTTAAGATCTCTGATTATTTATTTGAAAGTCCTTGAATTTTTTTTTTAAAATCCGCGATTATTGCTTGAATTGTTCTTGGGAAATATTCTTCCATAGAACCACAAGTATGATATTAAAAGTCCTTCAGAAAATTTCCTTTAAAAAAATCAAGGATTTTGGCTTTAATAGTCTCCAAAAATCATTCTTTCAAAAATCCACTGTTATTACGCCCAATCCATGATTATTGCACTGGTAGTCCTGGGAAAAAACATTCTTTAAAAAATCCACGATTATTGCTTGAATAGTCCTTGAAAATGTTCTTTTTAAAATCTCTGGTTATTTCATTGAAAGTCCTAGTTTTGAAAAAATACTCTTTCAAGTATCAGCGGTTATTAACCCAATAGTGCTTAGAACAATATTCTTTAAAAAATCCCTGGTTATTAAACCGATAGTCTTTGACAGAATATCCTTTAAAAAATCAACGATTATTACCTTGATTGGCCTTGAATAAATCCACCTAAAATCCATGAAAAAATATTTTTATTTAAAAATCCATGTTGGAAAAAAATATCCTTTAAAAAATTCATATTTGTGAAGATCCTTGAATAATATTTTTCAACAAATTTAGGCTTGTAATAGTTCTTGGAAAAACATTCCTTAAGAAATCCATGTTGGTAATAGTCCAAGAAGAAGTATTCTTTACAAAATCCACGTTTGAAATAGTCCTTTAGGAAATGATCTTAAAAAAGCTCCCGTTTGTAATAGTCCTTGGAAAAATTATTCCTTAAAAAAAATCAAATCAATCATTGGAGAACCACTCTTAAAAAATTAACGATTGTGAAGATTCTAGAGAAAATATTCTTTGAAAAATCCACGTGAGGTGCTTGAAGAAATGTTCTTAAAAACCCACGTCTGTGAAGGTCCTTGAAGAGATATTCTTTAAAAAAGGTCCTTAAAGGTCTTTAAAAAATCCAAGTTTGTGAAGATCCTTGAAAAAATATTTGTTCAAAAATCCACGTTTGTGAAGGTCTTTGAGGTAATATTCATTAAAAAATCCAAGTTTGTGAGGGTCCTTGAAGAAATATTCCTTAAAAAATCCACGTTTGTGAAGACCCTTTAAGAAATATTCTTAAAAAAATCCACGTTTGCTATAGTGCTTAGAAGAATATTTTTTAAAGAATTCATGCACTGCTAGACCTTAAAAGGGTTTAAATAAAGAATTCCTCATCCTTTAAAAAAAATAAAAATGCATTCTTGAAAATAAAGATAAGTGGTTATGGCCCTTAAAAAAAATCAAAAACAACAACACTTTTAGGGTTATTGTTTACATTCATGTGTTAATGGCACTTATCAAAATAATAAAAATCCTAAGAAAAGGATTCTCCAATAATGGTAACAGGAAATGCCACCCTTTCTTTGGAAAATCTCCCCCCAACTTTTCCCTTTATCATTTAACCTGCAAATGCATCCAAATCGACCATTAGAGATTTCCGGTGAATTTCATTAAGCTTTTGTTTTTGGCTGAGTATTTGTTACGAAATAAAGTACCACAGAGAGACTATCACATCCATTCCGGTTTGATGTGACCAATGGTAGCAAAAGGAGTCCAAACCGAGAAATAAACATCTTTTCAAAAGTGCTGCTGACCAGACCAGAGAATCCTGTAACCCTGGGGGTGTTGCTTTGAATTGTTCATTTTTTGGTTTTCTTGGAACATTACAGGGTTCTGGTGTTGCTCTCCCTCCCTCTCTCTCACTCTCTCTCTTCGTCCTCTTTTCACAAGTATTGTTATTTGGTATTATTATACGGTACTTACATGATTATTACGTTTGGTTAGCATTACCACATAAGTACCCGATACGGGGCAAATACAATGTGTTATATTCTCCCTTAGATTTTTGGTTATGCACAAATCTGAACGCCAACTGCTTTCGAATGATGCTTTATAATCATGGCTGGCAGCGGTGGAGGAAAAAGATTTGAAATAGAAGATTTGTTCATGGTTAATACAATGTGAATAATTTACAAGTTATCTGCAAAAGGATTTTTTTGTGAGCACAACAAAATACATTCATTATCCTTAGTTGTTGTTTGGTTTTTTGTTCTTTTTTCCTATTTTCTATACTCACCCACACACAGCCATCCAATCACCATCCTTGGGCGCCGGTTCGTGTTGGAACATAATCTCTACATGTCCATGTTCGAAGGGTAAATCCAATGGTTCGCGTAAATTATCATTAGACCGATTCGATTGAAAGAGCCAGGTTTGAATGATGCGCGATGCCAGAATGTAATCAGATTCTTTGGGATCACTGGAATTTTTAATGAGTGGTGGCAGGACAGGAATAACAGCAGCATCAGCAAAAGAATGCAAAGAATGTGGAGACATGAAAGAAAAAAAGTTTACATTAAGAAAATCCCATACACAGTACATGTTTGGAGTATACCCCCAAAAAAATCTAATTAAAAAGAGACAAACCAAAAAAAGACAGAGACGAAGAAGACTGACAACATAAATGCCAGTAATGACATTGATGACAGCGTGGAAAAATGTCAACGCTTACATGCATGGCTTAGTTAGGGAAACATGAGTTCTGTTGCTCTTTTTTTTGTTTCCTCCATTTGAATGTCATTCCTGGGAAGTCATGTAACATTGAAGGAATGTTTAAATCAACTGGTAAAATATTTTAGTGTCATACATGTTGTTATGTAATTCACAATAACATGTCACCGAATACATTGGATATTTTTGAATGAGTACTGGCCCAAAAGAAGAAAAAATGGAAATTATTTTTAAAGATTTCTGAGAAAATTTAACAAAGGGAGTAGGGGGTGACGTATGATTGATGTCGACAATCATACGTAAGGGGGGGGGGGTTACTGCATTTATACCCAACTTCTTGGAAACATATCAAACTTTATATAATATTTAGGTATTTAAAGTCCAACTGATTATAATATATGAAAATATCAAAGAAAAAACCAAAAACAAAAAAAAAAAAAAAAAAAAAAAATACAGGAATAACTTTGTAGATTGTGAAAGGAGAGATAAGAATGAGAGACAAGTGGATCGGTGTTTTGAAAGTAGAACTATTCCAAAAGACGAAGAAGATTTTCAAAATTAATAGATTTCTTAGTAAATTTAATAAAAGAGGTGAAGATGGCGTATGATTAATGTCGATAATCATACGTAACCCCTTGCAATTATAACCAACTTCTCAACATCGATATACCGTTTAGGTATTTAAAATTCAACTGAATGAAGTTATCAAAAAGGAAAGAGTAAATGCTGGGCTGAGACTGGATAAAAAAATGATCTATAACTCTGCGCAAAAAAATTAGTTAACTTATAGGTTGTTGCAATTACACCCAACTTCTTGATATAATATTTAGGTATTTAAAATCCAACTGATTTAAAATATATAAAAATATCAAAAAGAAAAGAACAAATGCTGGGATGACACCGAATAAAATAATGAAAAAAATACTTTATAACACTGTGAAACACAAAACAATTGCAGGACAAACTAAGCAGATTGTGAAAGGGGAGCTATACATAGAAGACGTGTGCATCTGCGTCTTAGAAGCAGAACTGTCCCAAAAGATGAAAATAATTTTCAAATTTATAAGGATTTCTTAGAAAATTGAAGGAAAGGAGTGGTTTGGGATTGACGTATGATTAATGTCGATAATCATACGCAAGGGGGTTACTGCAGTTATAACCAACTTCTCGAAATATATATACCATTTAGGTATTTAAAATTCGAATGAATGAAAATATCAGAAAGGAAAGAGTAAATGTTGGGCTGAGACTGGATAAAAAAAATTATCTATAACCCTGAGCAACACAAAAACAACAAAAAATGCAGAAAAAACTTAGTACATTGTGGAAGCTACATATAGAAGCCACATGTATCGGTGTTTTGAAAGACGAAAGAAATCTTGAAGTTAATAAAAATTTCTTAGAAAATTTAACAAGAGGGATGGGGTTGTCGTATGATTGATGTTGATAATCATACGCAAGGAAATTATATCAATTACACCCAACTTCTTGGAAACATATCAAACATGATATTCGATTTTAGTACTTTAAATCCAACTAATTAAAAATATATGAAAATATCAAAAAGGAAAGAACAAATGCTCGGCTGACACAAGGTAAAATAATCAAAAAAGTGCTCTATAACACTGTGAACACTGTTGTAATCATACGCGATGGGATTACTGCAATTATACCCAACTTCTCAAAATCGATATAACGTTTAGGTATTTTAAATCCAACTGATTAAATATCAACAAGAATGAACAATGCTGAGACTGGATAAAAAAATGATCTATAGCCCTGTGAAACACAAAAAAATTGTAGAAAAAACTTAGTAGATTGTGGAAGAAGAGCTAAAAGTAGAAGCCACATGTATCGGTGTTTTGAAAGTAGAACTATCCCAAAAGGCGAAAAAGATCTTGAAGTTAGTAAAGGTTTCTTAGAAAATTTAACAAAAGAGATGAGGGTGGCGTATGATCGATGTTGATAATCATACGCAAGGAGGTTACTGCAATTGTTTGCAACTACTTAGAAACACATTAAACTCGATATAACGATTTGTCACAGTCACAGTACCCATTACGAACTTCAAATACCAAATTTGAAACAATTTCGGTGAATAATGTCGCTAAAATCATCAAAATACCCATAAATCTGGATGTATTTACCGTTATATGGTGGATATACCCCCCTTACGAATTTCAAATACGAAATTTGAAATAATTCCGGTAACTAATTTCGCTAAAATCATGAAAATACCGAATATCTGGAGGTACTGTTATATGGGAGCTATACGAAAATGGGAACGGCATGGCAAAATTTTAGCCTTCTACCTCAATTTGTTCGAAAAAGAGCGTGCTTACAACAGACGTACAGACAGGCAGACGGACATCCCTAGATCGTCTTAGAATTTTACGCTGATGCAGAATATATATACTTTGTAGGATCTATGATAAATATATCGAGGAGTTACAAACGGAATGACAAAATTTATATACCCTCCAAAGAATGATGCAGGGTTCCACCTATATCAAATTTTTTGAAATTTTCGGATAAAAATTCCTTGGAATCCTTGCATTTTAGGTATATAGTGTCCTCGGCAATATTTGTAGCCAAAACTAGGAGGATTATTCTGGATAATAATGTTCATCCCCAAATAATTTGTCGAACAAGCATTTTTGGTCTGTTTCGAAAATATGGTTAAATACTCCATTCAAAGGGGGTCGTAGCAAATAAAAATATCCTACAAAATTATTTGTCTTAAGATTCTTATATAAGTTGCATAAGACATCAAAAGTATATAATTTAAAAAATCAGTAGGTTTTGCCGACAGATTTATACTCTCAGACACTATCCGTTTAATTTAATATATTGTGACACGCGTTATGATTATTCAAACTGTTGGCGATTTATGGGGCTAGTTCTGAAGAAAGAAAGTTGGATAATTATTTTATGATATTAATTGCTAATCAAAATTTTAAACTTTTATGTGGAAGTACCAGAAGGTGTGGGGCGTTAAATTCCATGTTCACATCTGACCTCTGGCTGAGAGCAATTTTTAGATATACCGAGTTTGAAAAGACTCGTTGATTTGTTTCCCAAGTTATAAGAGATATATGCATTGACTTTTTCACCCTTTGTGGGGGAGGTACCAGATTAAGTGATCCGATATATTCCTCCCCTCCACTCCAGGTCTTGTGTTGATAGAAATATTGCGATGTGTCGAGTTTAAAAGAAATCGGATGCTTATATCGAGATATATTCAAAATTCAAAACCTGTAGCATATACATACCAGATCTAGAGTTGTTAGAAATATTGGGATATTCGACATTTTAAAACAATTTTATAAGCGTTGAGATCATTCAAAATTTTGACGCTTTGTGAGGGAGGTACTGGGAGGAGTCGGTTTATTTTGTCAAATTTCGCACCTAACCTAGCACAGATACAAATACTACTATTTACAAAGATTGAATAAAATCGGATGATCCTCTCTTATTCTGTGGGGTAAATTATTTTCTGTCAAAATTGAACTTTTGTGGGTGAGCTACCAGAAGGAGTGGACCGATGTCGCCCATCTTCGACGTCAGTATAAGTTTGATAATAATATTACGATGTACCAAGTTTGGACCAAATTGGTGAGAGTTATCGTGCCCATCAATCAAACAGATTGACGGACACCTCTAAATTGACTCCTAATGTTCTAAAACGGGTTTGGTCCAAAAATACCTAGGGACTTAATCCGTTATTTCGACATGGATAACCATATGGCTGAGGGTATAATTAAAAAGGTACCAATATCGGATGATACATTTTTATGGGGGCTATAGCAGCGTCTGCCTGTATTGTCAATTATAATCGGATTTGGATAATCGGTAAACCGCAGAGTATCGAAAATCATTGTTGGGGGATATACGAAGATGTGGACATTCATAGGTAATTTTCCTAGGAAGTCTATCCATTGTCAAAACTCTACATTGGAAACAATTCTTTTGAAAAATTTGGCTAAAATCGCAAAAATACCTAGTTTTAGAAGTTCTAAGGGGAATATACCAGAACTTGGACCTACATAGACAGTTATCTGCAAGGGTTTTTTCTACATACTACGATCATTCTGCATTTCATTCGTAGGCCAGAGTGATTTCCAAAGACGGTGAGACAGACAGAAGGACGCATATTGCCACATCGAGATAAAATGTTATGCTGATCAAAATTATATATACTTTGTGGAGCCCAAAATGGATATTTCGGAAAAGTAATGACAAATTGAACATACAATTCTGACACCGATACCTTATAATAGAAAATCCGAAATGCCTCAATAAAAAAAAAAAAAAAACATTCCCTTCCAGCACCCAGAATCTTGTTACTTGGATTCAGGATTCAGTCACAATTCCCTTGAATTTCGGTTACAAAAGCATTTTCTAAAAATAGTTTCTTTCCAAATATTGGGACTAAAGTAGTTGTTATTAGAGAAACTCTCATTACGTTTGCGTTTGTTACAAGCATTTGATTTTTTTTCTCAAAAAAACTTGTTATGAGCTTCTCGTTATGCGCATTATTCAATCTCATAGAATAATCCTTGGTTCTATGGAAATATTGAGTAATACTGTTTCCAATCGATGGAAATTGACTTCATTAATTATATCGATAGAACAAAATAAAATTAATCATAGATACTTTCTGCGAAAAAAGGGAAACATTCGACAGATTCAAACAATCGTTTGTGCAATGGGGCGTATAATGAATTTCATCTAATGGCCCATGTGACGTATGAATGATATTTATATTTTTGGTAATGTGTATACGCCTCCAGTTCATCCATAACAATGTGCGGCAACATTCAATTTTTCGAATACTTAGAGGAATGATTATCACAGAATAGTTACAATAGTTATAGAATAATTGCAGATTATAAAAGTAGGGCTAAAAACCGAAGATACTTGTACCGGCGCGTTTATACCACAAATAAACCTCAATTGAAGGGAAAAGTTACCCTTTCTTCAACATTTTTTCAAATTGTCGGACTAAAATTCCTTTGAATCCGTAGATTTTAAGTATGTGGAACCGAAAATATTACTTAAGTATCGACGATTTTAGTAACAGTAATGCAAGGATTATTTTTGTGTGGAAAATGTTAGCCCTCAAGACAGTCGCAAAGTGGCATTTTTTGGTCCTTTTTTAAAATATGGCTCAAAATTCCCTTAATACTGGATGATGGCGCTAATCAAAATATTCTACAAAATTATTTGTCTCAAGATTCTACTAAGGGTCACAAAACACATCAAAGGTCTAAATCTCACCTAAGTGCCAGGAATTCATAAATACGAAAAACATATTCTAGGGTTAAATCGGTACTCTATGTGAGTTTATACGTAATTCTCCTACAAAGCATGGTTTTAGAAAGAAGATGTTAAAGACAAAAATATTTCTCATCGAATTTCTCCAAAAGTTATTAGGGAAAAGAAATCTCTATATCGCATATATATCTAGGAAATATTTGCATTAATGTAACCATAAAACGCGAAAATAAGCCATCGATTTTTGTTAATTTTTTTCCTGGACAGTAATCGATTAGACGACCTAGAGTAACATAACATTTAATTTTGGAAAGTAAGTGTGAAAAGAAGAAATATTCTGTACCGAATTTCATTACAAGTCCCAGAAAAAACAATAGATCTAGGTTTAATAGATTTTAAGAAAATTAAATTTGAAATGTATATATTTCAAGAAAAAAATATATGTTCTTTGTATTTTTATGCTAATTTAAGACGTTTCCATTCTTAGGCAAAATCTTACTGAAAACTCCACTTTTTGGGGATCGTGTCAAAGGATAAAATATTCTAGATCAAATTTCATTAGGGGTCTCTGAATAAGAGGAACATGTAAATTTATTACCTACCATTAAAAAATACCATTAATTTTGGTTTATTTTTAATTTCGACATAAAGGGTGAGATGAAAAACCCGCAACGATCTTTAGACTGCTGTCATTTCCAAGCCACTCGCCCGACAGCTGTTAAAATTATTCCAGTGACAGCTTATTATATTGTTTGCTGGCGTACAAAACCTTTTTTTGAGAATTTTCCAGAAAAAAAGTTATTTGTGATGGAATTCAAGCGTGATAGTGTAATTTTTTATTTTTTGCTGAAAACCTATCGTTAGAGCACTCCAGCATATAAATGTGAATAAATCTTTTGTGTCTCGTACCATCGCTCGTTACCGTGATACTGATAGCGTAGCTCGACGTCAAGGAAGTGGACGGAAGAAAGCAGCAACACAAGCAGAAATGGTTCGGAAAGTAAAGAAGCGACTTGATCGAAACCCGCGTTGCAGTGGCCGAGAAATGGCTCGTGAGCTGAACATATCGCAATATTCCATTCGGCAAATATTGAAAAATGTGCCATTGAAATGCCAAAAAGTGCAAGAACTTACACCGCCACAGAAATTAAATAGAGCTAAAGAGCTGCTTCGCTTCGCCGAAAGTGGTGAACTGCTGAATTTGGCTTTCTCCGATGAGAAAACATTCGTTGTCCAGCAGTTTGTAAACATGATCGTGTTTACTTGCCCAAGAGGTCAGTTGAAAATATGCACCTTCGGTTGGCCACTGGAACTCAAGCGCCGGCCATGCTGATGGTGTGGGTCGCCATAACAACCGATGGTCGCTCGACCGTGGCATCAGAAAAAATGCCGAATATTATCGCGAAAATATTCTGGAGGGTGTATTAAAGCCTTGGACACGCAAACAGTTTGGCCGCAGACCTTGGACATTCCAACAGGACTCAGCACCAACGCACTCAGAACGCGTCACCTATGAATGGTTACAAAATGCGGTTCCTCGCTTCATTTCCAGCGCACAATGGCCACCAAAATCTCCGGATACCAATCCGCTGGACTATTGTGACTGGAGTATTTTGGAAAGCAAGGTTTGCACTAAAAAATACCAAAGTGTCGATGATCTTAAGCAAGCGCTTCGCCGGGAATGGGCAGCGTGTGACGGTTTGATTAACCATTTGAAGGCCATAATTCGATCTAAACTTATTCTAAAATTTGATGATATTTCCGACATTTTTTGCTTTCATTCAATAAAGTTAAAAAAATGTAAAAATTATGGCGTTTGACTTTGTTGCGCTTCTTTATCTCACCCTGTATATATCTAGAAAATATGTGCATTTATGCAATCAAGAAACTCGAAAATATTCCCTAGATGTTTGATCAAGTTTTTCCCTGGACTTCGAGTTGACGCCTGGGAGTAACATAAATGTTCGTATTAGGTAGTAGGTGTTAAAGGAAGAAATATTCCGCATCAAATTTCATGAAATTTCTCAGGATAAATTTTAGATCTAGGTTTTAAATTACATTTGAAATTTATATATTTCAAGTAAAAATTATGTGTTTACGTTTTAAATGATAATCTAACCCATTTCCATTCTAAGGCAAAACCTATCTTAAATTCCACTTTTTGGGGATTGTGTCAAAGGAAGAAATATCCTAGATAACATTTTATTGGGGGTCTATGAAGGAAAGAAACGTTGTTCAGCTAATTTGGGTTGTAAAAAATCCCGAAGGGATCTTGTAGTACTCGTTTTGTAGATCAAAACCTCATAAGAGTTTGAGATTCGTAGGCCACATATTTTCTTGGGCATATTTATGACCTCAAATGGTAAATTTTTGCTCCCAATATATCAATTTCGAACTTTTGCCGAACGACCCTTATATCAAGTTTTCAATATCAATGCTTTTAATTAGAATTCTGTAAGACCGGATGTAATGCAAAAACGGATGTTAACAGACACACTCAACGGCACATACACTATCGCCCACACAACCACTCATAGACACAGATGTGCACACATACAAAGTATAAATCTTAGCATTACATGGCTGCAGGCATGTGTGTGCATACAGAACTATATGAATGATTATGTTTGTGTGTATGTGTGTTCATTATCATCATGTTTCTATGCACGCTCATGTGTTATAACCGAATGTGTTCATATGTATGTTTATGTGTGTGTTTGTGTGTGTGCTTAAAACATATGCGTGTCTATTTAACAGCACACATGTGCATAAATCCGATTTATTTTAATGGCATAATTTTTAGAAGCACACACACACATGATGGCTCCTACATACATATATACACCCACACATATGTACAAATGTTACACATTTATTTGGTTTTTTGGAGGTCATCATATAAAAATTTCCATCTCCAAAAATATAGATATGTATGTGTGTCAAGTCAAGTCCTCATAATCACAATGAATACGGTGGGGGATTACTACTACTAGTATTTGGATTTTTGTGTGAAGGTGTATGTATGTGTTTTGGACTTACCTTCCACGTGTATAGTAGGTTTTGGGCAGAAAACTTTTCAGATTTTTATATGATATAACCGAGGCAAATATCGTATTATTGGCCATAATGTTGAGCAAACGATTCGATAAACCAATGTCCATGTAAAGCTGATCCGAAAATAAATTATCACTGAAATGGCAACACAAAAAAGAGAAAGATTACTTCGGCGAGAGCTTAAAAACTAGTTGGTATTATAAAATAATTTTACACATACATATATGCATGTGTAAATGGTTGTGGATGGGTGTCAATGTAATTGGTTAGAAAGATATATGGTTTTGGATTGTTTTTGTGGATTTTAATTAAAGAGATTTGCAAATTTTCTATGGAATTCAAAATATTATTTTAATTTTTGGAATTTTGTATTGAATGGAATTAATGACCCAGCCATGAGTTTGGTTTTAGAACAAGAGGTAATATTATCTAATATAATCATGGTTGGTTGGTAGGCTTAGGTATTATTTCTGAAACAATAGTTTTGGACATTTTGTGTGAGGAAAGCACTCTGTGCTTCTAAAATTGGGTACAATTCTTTGTACGAGGTAGTATACAACTAGTATGTTTGAAGGCTAGGGTTGAGGTAGGGAGCAGGTCTAGGGAATATGAAATAATAAACTTAGATATAGATGAACTCAGATTAGATAAGATAAATAGAGCATTTTGAGTACTAAGAAAGGCCTTAAACGTACTCAAAATGCACAATTTATTTAGATTGACAAAATTGTTTAATCAAATCTTACTAATTTTTCAGACCTTCAATTTTTTTGCAATATTCAAGTTTTCCCTTTTTCGGAAATAAATGTTTAAAATAAAAAACCTTCAAAATCCATGAGGATATTAGTGAAACCATTGCACAATGGACCACATCCAATTTTTCATATGCAAGCCATATAAACCAACAGTGACCTCAACATCAAATTTTGAGGATTTCCCCGATTACATAATTTAGTACCATATAGTACAATTATGGTACGCATATCCAAAACCAGCTGCTTTTCTCAACCATAGACACCAACAGCGACATCTATATCGAATTTCTGAATTCTAGCTCTATCCCTTCTGTCAATACCAAATTTAGTGGCATTTAGTTTTTTTCGAACAATTATAGTGTGTATTTTCAAAACCATCTCCATATTTCAATCTCAGATACCAAATGTGACCTTAATGTCAGATTTCAGAATTCCAGCTCCATGCATTCATTCAATACCAAATTTAGTACCACTTTGTACTTTTGGTACGATTCTAGTACACATTTCCAAAAAATCTCCACATCTCAACCTTAGATACCAACAGTGATCTCAATATAAAATTTCAGATACAATTCATAGTACAATTATGGTACGCACATTTCCACAACCACCTCCATATTTCAATTCCAGATACCAAAAGAGACATCAACATCAAATTTCGGGATTCCAGCTCTATCCCATCACCCAATAACCAATTTAGTACCATTTAGGGATATTCATACAGTTATAGCACATATTTTCTAAACCATCTCCATATCTCAATTCCAGGTACCTACAGAAATCTCAATATCAAAATTTGAGGATTCCAGCTCTATCCCCTTCAGCAAATACCTAATTTAGTGCCACTTATTACTTTTCGTAGGGTTCTAGTACACATTTCAAAAACAATCTCCATTTCTCACCCCCTTTTACCAACAGTGACTATAATATTAAATTTCAGGATTTCCGGTCTGTAATTTCCTTCATTACACAATTTAGTACAATAAAAGTACGCATATCTAAAACAAGCTCCTTGTCAATACAATACAATTTTAGGAATTCAGGTCTATGTCTTTACGCTATTTAGAACTTTTCGTACAAATATGGTACCCATTTCCGAAATCACCTCCGTATTTCATTTCCAGACAACAAGAGAGACCTCAGTATCAAATTTGATCGCAGCTTTATCCCTTCACCCAATACCTAAGTAGTTCTTTTCGTACAACTATGTTACGCATTTACAAAACTCCGCAAATCTCAAACACAGGTACCAACAGTTATCTACCTATCAAATTTTAGAATTGTATCTCTATCTCTTCACCAAATATAAAATTTAGTACTTTTTAGTACTTTTCGTATGATTGTTGTACACAATTCCAAAATTACTTTCATATTTCAATTCCAGATACCGAGGGGGACCTCTATATCAAATTTGAGCATTACAACTCATCCTTTCGCACAATACCAAATTTAGAACTTTTTAGTAATTTTTATACAATTACAGTACATATTTCTAAAACACTGCCAAATCTGAGACACAGGTTCCAACAGTTATAAACAGCTCTAATACTAAAATTCAAACAGCAAGAACTATCTGCTCACCAATACCAAATATAGTACTATTTGGCACTTTTCGTGCACTTGTAGTACACATTTCCAAAACTACCTCATTATCACAAAACTTCCACCAACAGGAACCCCAATAAAAAATTAAAAATTCCAGCTTCATCTGTTCGCCCTAAACTAAACTGTTCCAAATTTAGTACTGTTTACAAGTGTACTAAGTGAACATTTCCATAACCAACCTTGATTCTCGTACCAAATTTCAATTATTTAGCTCTTTCCGTTCAAATAATACCAATTGGATCCATTTTAGAATTTTAGTACGATTTTAGAACTTTTAGTAGAATTTAATTTGGAATTTTCTAAAATCCTATAGTTCATATTTCCAGATTTCCATCAGTGACTCTCATTTCTTATTTTAGAATTCCAGGTCATTTCGTTTGTCTAATACAAGGTATTCAATTTTTAGTACATTTTAGTACTTTTCGTACAATTATAGTGCACACTTCCGAAACCACCTGCATTTCTCCAGGTTACACATGAACGTCAATTATACCAAATTTCAGATTTCAAGCACTATATGTTCAACCAATACCAAATTGTACGAAATATAGTAATGTTTGGTACTTTTTGTGCATTTATGGTACACATTTCCAAAATCACCTCTTCACAAAGATGCCACCAACAGGGACCCAATACATAATATTTCAAAATTCCAGCTTCATCCATCCAACCTATTCCAAATTTAGACTTCTGTCATTTCTAAGCCACTCGTCCGACAGATGTTAAAATTATTTCAGTGACAGCTAATTATATTGTTTACAAGCGTACAAAATCATTTTAGTGAGAATTTTCCAGAAAAAAAGTTATTCGTTATTCGTGATGGAATTCAAGCGTGATAGTGTGATTTCTTTATATTTGGCTGCAAAACCACAAGTGGCTATCGTTAGAGCACTCCGGCATTTAAATGTGAATAAATCTTTTGTGTCTCGTACCGCCCGACGTCAAGGAAGTGGACGGAAGAAAACAGCAACATCAGCAGAAATGGTTCGAAAAGTAAAGAAGCGACTTGATCGAAACCAGCGTCGCAGTGGCCGAAAAATGGCTCGTAAGCTAAACATATCTCAATATTCCATTCGGAAAATATTGAAAAATGAGCTCGGGGTAATGCCATTAAAATAGACCCAAAAGAGCTAAAGAGTTGCTTCGCTTGGCCGAAAGTGGTGAACTGCCGAATTTGGTTTTCTCCGATGCGAAAACATTCGTTGTCCAGCAGTTTATAAACAAACAAAATGATCGTGTTTACTTGCCAAAGAGGTCAGCTGAAAATGTGCACCTTCGGTTGGCTACCAGAACTCAAGCGCCGGCCATGATGATGGTGTGGGCCGCCATAACAGCCGTTGGTCGCTCTCCGCTAGTATAAATCGATCGTTGCATCAGAATAAATGTCGAATATTATCGCGAAAATATTCTGGAGAGTGTATTAGAGCCTTGGGCACGCAAACATATTGGCCGCAGACCTTGGCATTCCAACAGGACTCAGCACCATTGCACTCAGCACGCTTCACCCAAGAATGGATGAGGTTCCTCGCTTTTTGTACGAAGATCCACAAAAAAAAAAAAAAAAAAAAAAAAAAAAACAGCCTTGTCACAATATTACGAAGCAAGACTGACCCTTGTTTAAAATTTAAAGATTCTAGCTTCAACCATTTCGTCTGGGAGTTAATTCTCAATCTGATTGACTGTCAGATACTTCGCTACTTTTTTACATCTAAATTTCGTCTTTCCACATTAAATTCCCTAAATATTTCCGCCTCTTCCTTCCTATCCATATCTCAATCAAATTCCCCACTTCGGGATAATAAAAACCAAATTACCTTCTTACAACTTAACAACACTAAGTTAATAAAGGAAACAAATCACACTTGTTAACAACTTTCCAAGTTATGGCCAATAGGAAAAGTAAAAACCGCCCACAAAAATTATCACAAAGCGCGGAAAGAAAAAAACGTTGGATTAATTCATTTAAAAACCCCCAACTGACCATTACGAAGGCACCGGGAACTGCTCATTACATGGCAAAACAATTGCAAAGAAACTAATACTCAACGGAAATTTGACTACCGGTAAAGTTATGAGAAAAAAAGGAAAAACTTTAACATCAAGGCCATAAATTGTCTGGTCTGCTACGCTACGCTACGGTGTGCGCTGACATCAAAAATGGCCATAAAAATTCAAGAAACTTTAAAGTTATTAGCGATGGCAGACCATGAAAAGGACCGTGGACTTGAGTGCTTCCGGTTTTCTGGTATGGCGCGCACCTTGACAAAAGAATCTCCACAAAGTTTTTAATAAGAAAATTCAACAAAAAACGAGCAACTTATATCTCAATATTATTTACCTGCCTTGACATTAAAGTTTTTGGTTTTCATTGATAATGGAAAATTATATCTGGAAAAAATATTATCACGTTGAAAATAAACCTCAAAACAAATAAAGCTTAAAACTCAAAGAAAAGTTAGTTTTTTTCTCAAAAAAGGAAAGAAAACCCACGTAGTAAACGAACTTAAGAAGAAGAAAGAAACTATTCAAAAAACTTAAACGCTTACCGTATCTTTTGCTGGTAATTGAAACGTGTTGAGAAAACCGTTATTGTAAAGTAATAACATTTTCACCCATCGAAGGTATTGGCAGAAAATAAAGGAATGGATAACATTGAGTGAGAGGTAGTGTTCGATACGAAAAAAGTTCGTAAACAAAGAGTAAAGGGATATGTATTGAAATGTAAAGTATTTTTTTTTTTTTTAGTTTCTTTTCACAAAATTGTATCCTATCAAA